AGAGAGGGATAAATTTTGATCATTATGTAATCCAGAAAGTTCTTTAACATTAAATTAGATTTTACTCCCTTATGTTGTTGAACAAAACAGATTGCAAGATTAAGAAAGCAAATTTATGATTAATTTTTAAGAACTATCATTTCTTTGTGAGCCCTTAACATGTGTTATTTGTTAAAAATATTTACTATTTGCTAATCATAAATCAATGTTTAAAATCAAGAATTTTCATTGTAAATATATAAACAAAATTTGAATTATTAATTAGATTTATTAAATTATTGAATTATTAATTAGATTTCTCCATTTGCCATGTTTTTACTTCACTCAAGCAAATATAAATGTAAAAATTATGATTTTAGGTGACTTCTTCAAAACCTAACTCATGAATTAATTTTCCATTGATTATTAACTTTGATATGTGTGATTTTGATATTCTAATGATAAACCTATATTAATTTCCTCTTTTACTGATGTAATATATTAGAAATATATGAACAGTTTGATAAAGCTTTTTGTGTTGAATGTTTTGAATATTAAAGATTAATGGTCTAAAACATGTTAAATTATTACACATAAAACAGTTATGATTTAAAATTGATAATACAACAAATTGAAGGTGTTTCAGAAGAAGTGATTTATCTTTCAGGCATAATGCTTGCTATTATAAGCAAATGTATCAATTTATTTTTCAGGAAATTGATGCTAAATGATAAAGATGCTTTAATTAAAAAAAAAAAACATATTAATAAACGATTTTTGTGATATTATAACACTTCTATATTTATGGGTTGACAAATTGTCTCTTCATAACCTTATATGTTCTGTAAATGACTGAATTTCTAGCACTAATTTGAAATGAAACTAATTTATTTGATGTCTCTACATAATATTTGTATAAAAATTATCATCATCATACACACAAATACAACATGAATTAATGCTGTATTTGTGCATGTATATAGGTTTATATGAATTAATAATAATTTTACAAAAAAAAAATTATTTAGAGAACAGAAAATTATTACTATTGACATATATAAATATATAAAGTATGATCTCATTCTGACTTACTTATTATAAATAGTCATGAAAAATCCTCCACCAAGTCCCATACTTTGTGGATTAACAGCTCCATCACAAAACAAAGTGGCAATTGCTGCATCAACAGCAGAACCATTATTATCTAATATATACCTAGAAGAAATTGAAAGCTATATTTTAATTTCATCATTATTTATGAAAGAGGTTTTATCAGCAAATATTATATTCAAAATTTATTAAATTGTTTCAATTGATAAGTCGTGTCCTGTTGTGAAGTTGCAAGATATCTAATATAATAATAATTAATATAATTAATAAATATAATATTATTAATATATTACAACCGTGAAGAGTAGAGAACTGTCCATTAACTGCAATCCTCTGTGAAGAGGATGCCATGTGAATGAATGAATGAATAAATTACATCAATCACATGGCTTTTGACATATTGTACAGAAATATGTAAATCTTGGATAATTTGAAGTCACAATTATTTCATCCCTTAAATTTTGAACTAATGAGAATTTCCTGTGCTATATTGTTATAAGAATATTTCTGTATAGATATGATATATAGTCATATCCAAAAACTAAGCATAAACATTTACTTTTGACCTGCATGTCACAAATTACTGATCAAAACAGCATGAAATTTAACATACAAGCACAACATTTATTTTTTATACAACAAAACAATTGAGAAACAAAAATTTAATCTAAATTATGTTTAAACTAAAACCAACAAGAAAAAAAGTCATCCAAGCTTTGATACTATAAAACATATCCTGAATTTTGCAAAATTTAGGATATGTTTTATTACACCCCTTCCACTAATGCACAGTAATATAACTTGCACCAATGAGTAGTAGTTTATAAGAAATCTTTGTTTAAATGTTTAAACTTTTCTGTGTGCTTCATATATCAAATTCTATAAGCAAATTGTAACAAGTAGATGTGGACAAGTAAGTAAAACACCAGGACACCAGGTGGAAAAGCTTGATGTACAGGTTCAGCATGTTTTTTTTTCCAATTTCTTTTTAAACAATTTTTTCTAAAGTGTGCAATCCAGTGAATAATTTCAAAATACATCTGGCCCAAAATTATTATTTTGTAATTATTAAAATCTCCAGTAGATATAAAGGCCAGAAAATCCCCGAATGGAAAGGATGAAAGAAGCTAAAACATCTGTAAGATCCACCAATTCCGAGTTTAGTTTTATAATTTTTAATTGGATATTTTCTGTGTTTTTTAAGGAATGTTTTAAACCTGATGGCCAAGTAGCCTCTAAAGAAAGGTCCGGTCATCAAACATATTCTAGAACACGTGATAGGAATAAATGGTGGTTACCAAGAATTTTTTTGGACAGATTGTGTCTTTAATTAACTTAAAAAAATGCCTTCCGACGAAATTCTATAAAAAATTATTAAAATCATTTGCATATCTTTAAACAACTATAAGAAAATATCAATTTTCTATTCACGATTGCTGGTTTAAAAATATGAGAATGATTATCCAACATTTTGCTTTTCCAGATATATTTCTAGTTCTGAGAACATCTTTGCAAGTGCTAGATTAGACTGGATATTCATCAGATCTCAAACCAATTGAAAATGTGTGGTATCTCATGGCTCTTGAAGTACAAAAAACATGACTTTCAAGAAAATGGGAGGTAAAAGAAGTGACTGTTTGCAATGGCATCATAATATAAGTCCTGAGTATTATTCAAAGCTTGAAAGACAGCATGTAGGAGAGAATTTGAGCTGAGAATTATTAAAGTCAAAAGTGATTAATATACAGTAGACCCCTATAAAATGAGTTCCTATAATTACAATTCCTATAAAAATGCGAAAAAATTGCAATGGTATCTGTAAAAAACGGTAAAAAAACTCCTATAATTATGTAAAACGTCATCGGGCAGCCGAACTATTTTCCGCCGTCAAGTGCCACGCTACGGAGAGATTACTATCGTCTGTACAGTATTATATATAAATTAGGTACTGTATATATAATTATATATTAACTTAATTTATTGTAACTTTATTATAATTATATATATATTTTCTGCCGCGTAGCGCCACGCTACGGAGAGTTTAGGCTAACTATTGTCTGTACAGTATGTAAATTAGGTACCGTAAGTCTAATACAGTACTGTAATTTTATACATTTCTTGTGAAAGAGCATTTCTTATTCAACAGCGATTAAAATTGTGTCCAAAGTTCAGCGAATTTTTCGCAGAAAAATAAGTTATTAGAAATCGCCCGCGGTTTGCTGAGCTGTTCCGCGACGAAAACAAGCTTGAGCAATGGCGATGTCGAATGGTACACACTCGGTAAGTAATCCTACAATTTTTTGTTTATAGCGTAGTTTATACAGATTATTCCCAAAAAAAATATATGTATTTTGGAAATGTTGAGTCGGATTAGTCTAGAATCGATTAATTTTACGGAAGAAAACCTTTCAATCAGCCGTAGTCCGTAAACTTCACACGCGTCGGGCTGTGATTGGAAGGACTCGTAAGAAATCAGGTTCCTAAAGAATGGAACGTATCTATAATCTTATAGGGGGGTCGACTGTATATATATTGTCACAAAATATTAATACATGTATTTGTATCCTGCTTTAATGAATATTTTGTGTACATTCTTTTCATTTATTAACTCTTTTTCAAACATATCCTCAAAACAGGTTCTAAATTTTCAAACAGTATATTGTATATGTCTATCATAAGAATAAATTGTAGTAACTCAATCTTTGCAGCTCTTATTTTTCTTCTGTATTTATCACTATTTATTGCTAATACACAGTGCCAATTTTAGAATCATTCTGCCCTTAGGAAGTATTTGAGTGAAATATTGTCTAGGGCAGGGGTGGCAAACCTGTGGCACATAGGGAAAAATCATCTGTATGTAGCATATCATACGATTTCAATTTATGTCTTTTTCAATCAGCTTTTTTACATTTATTCTAATTAAAGCATATTCATTTAATTTATTTAAATATTGTTATTCAAAGTCTAAAACTCTGGCACTCATAAACATCTTTAAAGCTAAGTATGTTTATTACATGGCATGTGTGCTCAAAAAGGTTCGCCACCCCTTGCCTAGGGCTTAAATGTATATTGCCAAAAATTCAACATTTTGAATAAAGTAACATAAGAAATCATGCTGATTGATGTTTTTAAAACATCACTGTTTCATCAAAGTTTGTGCATGTTGCTATCAATAGTAAAACATCAAAACATCAGTATTCATGAGTTTTATCAGCAGTTTACCATCTGTTTCATCTTTCAAATGACAAAATGTAATAGGTAATAATAAATAGATTTCTATAACCTATTTTAAAATCACAAATTCATAATATTAGTATATAAATTTTTTACTTATTTATGAAAATATTGTGAATGGAAACTTTCTTTTTTGCATCATTGCAATTACGAGTATCTGCTAAAAGAGCAAACATAATTTATTAGAGTATATTATTTAATTCATTTAAATACAAAAATATGGCTGAAAATTATTTCATTCTGAAATGCTTGAAGTATTTTTTTTTTGCTAGTTTTAATTTTAGTTTAAGACTTTATACTTAGACTTTATATCAAAAATTTATATATAAAAATTAAAACTTTATGATAATAGTGTACCTTACGAAACTGGTGACTAGTGTGCAAAGAAAAAAACAAAACGAAAATTCACTACAAACATTTCATAACTCCCCAGAGTTCTTCAGGCATTAAAGTGGATGCCTGATAGAATGTAAAAGCTTCCCGTGTGTCCGATTCAAACGATTGTTTGAATGGTTGTATTTGAAAGCTTTTACATTCCATTGGGCATCCATTTTAACGCCTGAAGAAGAACTCTGGAGAGTTCGAAAACATTTGTGGGGAATTTTTGTTTTGTTTTTCTTTGCACACCGGTCATCGCTTTCATAAGGTACGTTAGTGACTATAACCCAGTGTTGTGTATTGTGGTTTAACTTTATGATATTTTATATTACAGAATTTTTAGTTAACAATCAATAAATTAGTAATTGTATTTATGGTTAGATGCATTCTTGTTTGTCTTAAATAATGGGTAAATACACAATGATTATATTCTAACTTATTTTAGTTTTATGAGTAATGAGCCAGTTATTAATTAATTAATTAATTAATTGCAATAAGATAAACTTTAATAAAAATCATAGTGTAAAATTTTGTTTTTATTTATTAAAAAAAAAATACTTAAATGCATTACCTTCCAATTGATGCACAAGGTCCTCCATCTGATAATACTGCTGAATGTTCATAAACATTTAAAATTGAACTTGATACAGGAAATGATGAATCAAAATACCTCTCTCTTTTTTCTTTTATTTTTGGTAAACCTAAGGCAAGTGTCACGGCAATCATTACACATGCAATCACAATAACAATAACTACAAGAATACAATCTCGTCGAGTAAAATGTGTCCTGAAAATAAATTATATAAAACAATATTTAATAGATAAATCAAATAAATTATGTATTAATTTAACATTAATTTATATTCTTATAATTTATATTCTTAATTTATATATTTCATATCTTTATATTCTTATAAAGATATGAAATATATAATCAATATAGTATAATGTTATAATTTTTGTTGTGCATAAAATCACTTTAATCCATGTTGGTTGATTTTCTTATAGCAACTCAAGTTATTACATAAAGACGTTATTATAGTATATTCTTAAATAGATTACAACAGCCTGAAATGCATATGATGTATATATAAGAACTATTTAAGAATATACTACAATAACGTCTTATGTAATAACTTGAGTTGCTATAAGAAAATCAACCGACACGGACTAAAGTGATTTTTACATACTACATAGATGTTATAATTTTGTTGTATTTTAGTATATGGGATCAAGGCTATCAAGAGGGGGAGGGGAGAACTAAAGATTTTTCCTTGGCCCAGAAAAAACTTAGGGACACAATTTTAATTTTATAGGGATAGAAATCATAAAGATTTTATTTAATGTTAATAAAAATAAAGACTATTAATAGAGAAATAGTCTACATATTTCAAAATGCTAAAAGGTAAGAGTCATATGGGGACAGTTTATTCTAGGCCCCATACAAGCTTTTGACAGCCCTGTATGGGCTGTACATACAGGGCCATACAGATGCAGGTAGCATACGTAGTATGTACTGAGTAAGATAAATTGTAATGTTTCCAGCATCAATATTATAGCATCAGTTTTTCTGCATATAATATCAATATAGAATGTGTATGTTCATAAGTAGAGTTTGACTTTTAAGATTTTGTGCTTTGGCTTTTAGTCAGGAAAAACCTTTTCTTAGCTAAACAGCATGATGAATAACAGTAACAAAGAATCCTTTAAAACACTTTTCAAACTATTAAAATTTTCTAATTTTAGTATTTTTCCTTTATTCACTAATTTCAAATGCATTTATTTACTTTTAAACCTTATGTCTGAGCTATTTCAATAGTTAACTAATAGATTTAAATGTTAAATTGGTGGAAAATTTAACAAAAAGTTAATCAAGAGCAATCTTTTTAAGACTTTTGGTTGGATGGAAAATTTCAAGCTTCAATTTCAAAATTTTACAGTTCATGGTGTGATTGGCTAGAAAAATTGTTTAATGATAATAATTATAAAATCAGTAAATATATATTGTCTCCAACACACAGAAATTTTTCCTCTGCTTGGATTATATACCATACTTAATATATTTGTATGATAGATTAAACCAATAAACAAAGTATTGGTATTATGGGAAAGGAAAAGGAATCATCAAGAACACTTACAGAAATGGTAGAAGAAATACAGATGGAGCTGTACAACAAACGCTTTTCAATTGATGAGATGATAAGTATGTTATGTGAATATCTTTTTATTTGCAAATAGTGTAGTTATTAACATTACAAGAAGTTATGGTGTAATTCTCATTATTAACCACATATTAAAGAATTTTAATGAAGATGGAATGCTAATGTATATTCAAAAAACAAGTAACAATTTCTTAAAGGTTATAAAATCTTTAAAATGTGAATTTTTTTATCAGATATCATGCACATAAAAAAAGATCATTTGCAACAATATGCAAATTCTGAAAAACAAAGCTCACAAGACAAGAAAGGAATGTACCCACACCACTGCAGGATGTTCCCAGGATTCATTCCAACAGAATTTGGCATATTCTTTAACTACTACAAATATACTGTGGAAAGTTTTAGCATTTAGATCATTTTTTGAAAAATATCATATTTGACCAATATCTGATGAATCTACGTTAGAAAGAAATATCTATAAACTTAATAAAAGGTACATACTGTTACATAAGCTAAGTATGACATGATACTGAAATATGGAAAATGTATGTTAATTTTTTATTTGAGTTTTCTTAACTTTAGGCACTAGGAAAAACAAGAAATGAAGCAGGAAATAGTTGTATTTGGGTATAAACCACAATTTCTGAATTAGCTATTTGTAAACCACAGACTATTTAGGAAACTGTATTGCAAACAGTCATTAGGAAGCTAACTTTGGACAAGCCTGGTTAAATCTCACATTTTGGCTCGCAACATTATAGAAAAGATAAATCATGCCTCACTAGAAAGCTGTCTTTAATGACAAGCTAAATAAATTTCATATACTGCTTTATATTAAGACTATAATAAATATCTTGCCATCTGTATTGTAAATTTTTAGAAATTCTGAAGACAAAATCAGAGTTCTGCTACTTTTAACAGGTAGAGTCTCCTGTATGTTAAGGCTGGACAGGTTAGAAAATTTTTAATCTCAATTTGATATACCTCATCTGTCTTGCCCAACTGATTCTTGTTACAGAACTTAGAATTTCACTCCCTGAAGTTAATGCAATTATTTTTCCATATCAAAAAGATATGGAGACAACTCTAGGTATACAGATGTATAAAGAAAAATACTTTCAGAGGTTTCCCTTCTATCACAACTTATTCCTACAAAGTGGAGCACATGGCTAGAGACTGCAGTGTTTTATTCTGATAACTTTAGAAGAATAACTCATAAATTTTATCAAAGTCAGAGAAAAGTGAACAAATGATAAAGTTTGGTATTAAATTTTCAGATTATTGATCTGCTGAGCAAGATGTTATTACATAGTGCAGCTGTCAAAGAAGCATTTGCAGTTCCTGGAATAACTAACAAATTGGTATATTAAAGCACATTTAGCATTTTTAGTTAGCAGTATCAATTAAGAAGCTAGAAATGGGTAGATTGCCACTATGATTCAATGAAAACAATACATATGTCTGTTTCTAATTTGAATCATCAGAAGGTTCACAAAAAACTGAGTAGTATTTTAAAGAAAAACCTTCAAAATGAGACAGAAACTATAGTCTACTCAGTGAAGAAGCAACACCTAGCCCTATATTTTCTGTGTCCATTGAACTTGTGTCCTCAATTTTAAATTAAATTTGTACCAATCACCTTTGGTGACATTGATGCTCTTCCATTTATAAAAGTATATACTGACACTTTTTGTGTCTAACAACAACTGAACATATGGAACAGATCATTGTTGCATACTGTAAAAGTCAACATAAATAAAAATTTATACCAACTAATTTGCCTGTTTTACTGTCAAAGTAAAATTTTAACAATCTACTTTTTCCTTAGTTGAAACTGCAGTAAAAAACTTGAATTCTATTCATAAGCGATAACAGTATGTACTGTAACTATCACCTACTGAGACACACAGTTAACTCCAAAACTGTGTATTTTGAGTTATGCGTAAAAGAAATTCCCTATCATTTACAGTAAAATATAGGTGTCATATCATTTTTCCACCAAAAATCTTCCATACTTTTTCAAATTTTTGTGCTTTAGTGTAACTTAAAAGTACGTAGTAACTTGAACGATTAGAAAAATTAACTTGCTAGAACATCTTCAAGTAGAAGGTGTTCTAGTTACAGAGGTGTAAATCAATAAAAATCAATTTGATAACGCAAATAGTTGAGTAGAAATGAAAGATTGAAATTTCGACAAAAACTACGAAAGCAATTATCTCAAAACGGCATTTTTGGAGTTACGTCACTAATGTTTCCAGCAGGCGATAAAGCCTAATATTGCTTGCGCTTCTGTTATTCTTTACAATACAAAGGCGAGTCCTCCACTGTTGTTATTAATTCTTCAAATGTAAAAAAAAAATCTAAATATTCGTTTTAATGTTTTCAATTCATTTGCTTGCACGTCTTTATTTTTTAAAATTAAATTTATAAAAATAAATAAGCATTTCACATTTTTCAGGAATAACGAAATTTTTTAAAATCAAATTTGTGGAATTATATCGGACATGCAAAAGACGCAAAAGTCCCGAACGAGAATAAATCCGATTTAGAGAAATCCATCAATTAATTTCGAGATCAGCTAAATGGAGTTGACGGAGATTACTTACTATATTTCTCGAATTTAGCAAATAATAATTGGATGCCAAAATATATACTGTATTACACATAAAATATGGTTTATTGACGTAAACTTACTCCAATAAATATCTATCACTTCTTTTCCATTCTTCAAATTCTTCGACCAGAGGAATATGAGAAGGTCTCATTTTGATTTAATCTCGTTTTATAATATAAACACAGTATATTTGATAACTACGATGATAAATAACGAATTATTCGAAAATCTGCCATCCGCCTATTTCAGCGAGAAGGTAACAAAAATACGGGGGACACGGTTTACGATTTATTTGGCAAAAAGCCATATTAACGTCGAACGAACGATTGAGACGTCGACAGATGCCTTTTCGTGCAGTTATTTATGTTTCATAACCTTGTAAAAGTCAAAAGATGAGGTAATTCGAGAATAAGTACGTCTCAAATATGTTATTTAAAAACAATATTTTAATTATTAAAATGTTATTTAGCATGTTAATCGTGCATTGTTAATGACTAGGTATATTTTATCATATACCATAATTTCTACAAAACAGAAATTTAGACTAATATTTTCCAAACCACGCAAAATTAATGAAATTAACTTTTTACAGTAAGTCTCAAATTGTTATACAAGACTAATATTGTTTAAATGTAACAATCTTACAGTTTTATTGTCAGTTTAAATGTAATAAACTAAGTATAGAAGTATTATATAGGGCCTAAATTTTAAAGTTAACTAGTTTACAACAAATTAGTAACAATTAAATATAGTAAAAGCCAACAAATAGTATTTTCAGAATGGGTAAAATGTGTCTTATAAAGTCCAAAATAAAGTACAAAATAAGTTATACTAATTCAAAATTATTTATATTTAATTAATGTATATTATTTTTCGTTTTGTGATTTATTAATTATATACTAATCTAATTTGCACAAAAGAAATAATTTAATTCAACAAAATCCAAATATGAGTTGTTTTAATTTTCTTCATAATTCAATATGTTTTTATAACAAACGTATTTATTGGAAA